CAATGAAGTGGGAAAATTTGGAAGAGGCAAATACGGTATAGATTGATTTGTTTTTCGTAATTTATCATTTTTTTTTTAATTTTCTTCTCGACGTAATGGGGTGACCAACTTTGATTTTCAGTCTTCTTCAATTAGTTATAAGGGCCGGTACAACTGTAAGGGTCAGCGATTTCTTGCGGAGGAATTGCTATACATCTTCCCTTATAACTGCATCATTGAATGGGTGCTCGCGCAACCTGAGTCCTGTTGGATCCCCCATCCTTAGACGTACGATAATCGACCGATCTTGTAAGTTGCCTAGTTTATTTATTATATTTCTTATGACCTTTTAGTCTTTCTTGTCATATGAGTTGTATAATATTGCTCGTATAATTAAAATAACAATTTGTGTTGATAAACATAATAAAGTTTGCCATGATTTTTAGGAAATTATGAAGAATTAAACTAAAAGTTGGCAACTTGGAAAACTTATGGTAATGGTAAAAGGAGAATCTTATTTCATCCTTCTGTAAAATATTAAGGTAATTATCCTTTGAATAATATCTTAATGTTGTTAATATTATTCCAATGAAAGCATATTTAGGGAATTCCTTCAAAATGGTAAAACGTTAAACTTACAATAATTTTAACTATACTATAAGAAGTAGATTAGACTCGAGTAGAAGCTAGATATGTTTATTTATTATAAAAGCTAATGCTGCCAAAGATACAGGCTTTCATTAGTCATAAACGACCGCTCACATCCCCAACTTTCAGCTAAGCAATGAAATGGAAGCCTGGCATGATCTCCGCTATCTTGATATTCAATAATGAAAAATTTAAAAATCCGATTTAAATCACTCATGCAGTTACGCGTTGATGAAAAACATGAAGATGCTGCAAAGAGGGAAGGTTCATTAATGGCGCGTCTTTGGACTTTAAGAGAACTTCTGAAGAAACGTTGTATTATTGGCACTTTTAACAAATAACATTCGACTTTGAAGGAACACTCATTCGAATAACACTTCATAAAGAAAAATGGTAATATGACAGAATACTTTTCTATAGATGAATTATTTTGGAGAAAGAATAAGTAAATTTAGATCAAACGGTCATGACGCAAGCCGATTATCGTGAAAGAGAATGCAAATAATGCCATGTTATTCTTTTTATGTTGAGTTTGACAAAATGCATGAGACATTTAAGTTTAAAGATTCCTTACTGGATGCAAGTTAAGTGAAGGAGACGTCGTGGTATTTCTGCACTTTATTAATTTGTCGGTGTTGGCATATATTTTAAATTCAAGGAAAATAGGTAATTCTGCTTTTAATAGCACGAGAGGAATTACAGATCTCAATATCTTATTGGAGGAACTTTTCAAATGATCGAAATCTATCTATTGAAAGGTAATGGTTAAATAATTCTCTGCACAAGCTGGCTCAGCTCAGCTCGATTTATTATATAATACAACTCTAGTTGGCTCAGAGTTTTAAGTGTATCTTCCAAAGATTTTCTTTATTTGAGAAATGATTCGAAACTAATTCAATCACGAAAAAGCGAATTACACGATCAGAGATTAAAGAATCATCAAAAAAGTTTTTTTTTTAAAAAATTAAAATTAAAATAAATGATATATTGTTCTTCTAGAAAGCACGGTAAGTTTTTTAATTAATATTTCGATTCTTCGCTAGATAACATTTTTTTTTTTTATAAAAAGCAAACGAAAATTATGCTTAAATTCCAAATAATTTTTGAACAGATTTTGATGTTTTTGTAGTGGTTTTCCATTCTGTATGAAACCAGCAATATCCTCTTGATCTTATTATTGTTCACTATCCCAGAATTTTCATACTCCCAATTACCCTAAACACGAAATCTTTGATCATTCAACAAAATAATACTTGGATTTTAATAAGCATTTTGACACCAAGATTCTTTAGGGTATGCTACGAAATCTCGAAATCCAAAATCTCGAAAAGCCAAAATCTCGAAACTCTAAATCCCGAAAAGTCCAAAATCTCGAATTCCAAAATCTCGAAATTCAAAATCCCGAATGGTCATGAGAATTACTTTGAATTAGTATGTCGCGGGAAATTACTTTGAATTAGCAATATATTTCGCGGGTGAGGCTCAGATTATCTGAAAATAATCCTGTTGAAATTTTTTTTCATTTATTTGTATAAGCAAAACTCCCTCCGATTGAAAATTTTTTTCATTTATTGTATAAGTAAATATTAAACCATTAATAAGATGATTGCGATTTTAACGACTTTGTAATGAAAAAAATTTTAATAAATTTATGTTAATAATTTTGGTAATGTCATGCCTTAGTATATGCCTTAATGGAAAATTTTTAAAGGAAAATTCGAGATTTTAACCTTTCGATATTTTGGATTTCGAGATTTTGGACGGCACCAATTAACCCATTTAATGGTCTATCTGTCATACCCAAAGTTACACAGAAAAAGATTGTCCTAGACATAAATTCAATTATGGAAATGTGGACATTAAATGGCTAAACACTCTATTTATTTTAGGTATACGTTCATATGTGAGGATTGGATTCGATTTAAAAAGTGGAATCGATTTTAGAAGCGATTAATCGTTTATCGAGTTTCAATTTAAGATTCGATTTTTTAATCGATTTTATTTATGGCGCAGCGATTTTTTTTTTGATCAAAATTTAAACGCAAAACTTTCATCAAAAATTTATGTTTAAGAATGTATTATCAAAAAAAAAATAAAAATTATTTGCCAAAGTTTTTTTTTTGAATTTTTGGTTCTTACTTTTCAGGTTCGATTGCTTCTGACTGCAACGATCGAATGATCTTTTTAGTGTATTTTATTTTATTTTATTTTATTTTTTTGCTTTTATGTTCCTAAGCGCGATCACATTGGAATTAATTTGCTAGGAACTTTTATTGATTAAATTGGTTTTTATTTTTATTTTTATTTTTCATTTTACATATTTTTTTTTTATTTTTTACTTTTGCTTTTATGCTTATTAAATCTCTCCTTTCGAGTTCGATTATTGATTATTTCCATTGTGTCACTCGATTGATTACAGTAGGGTTTCTCGACTTTTTATTCGATTTTGATTTTAGTAGAATCGATTCCAATTCCCACATATATCAAAATTAATTATTTAGCTTTTGTGGTTGGATTATGTAATCATTTAACGTATGAAAATTTTTTTAATGTCTTCTTAACGTTATTTTTTTTTTTTTTAATCATATAAAGTATCATTAATTATTAAATAAATATTTATGTAATTGATCAAATAATAGTATAGACACATATAACGAAGAATGGGATGTGTAAAATAGATACATTGGATAAATTTATAAATACACCTGTAGTTCTTCAGAAAATTTTATATAATGAAATGGAAAGTATAATCTCTGTATAACTTGTTAGTAATTAATTATATATATATATATAATTAAAATAAAATAAGAAAAGTCTTACTGTACCAAATCCACTATCTTAGCCTGAAAAGAATTACAAGCCTTACCATGAAAAAGAAAATAATTAATTACAAGAAATAATAAAAATACTACCATATAATTTTCCAAAAGTTTTATCTCAGTAACCCCCTAAAACCGAAAAAAAGAAACTGTAGCACTAAAAATCAATACTCTGTAACCCAAACTGATTTTATAATCAAAAAAAAAAATTATACAGTATATAACATATTACGACCAAAAATAAACTAAAAAATTAACCTTTATTGATCATTCAAAAAAATAATATGGGAGGTTAGCTATTAAATTATCCAATTCGCTACGAAATCATTAAAAACATGTAAATTGAAGAATACAAATGTCACAACATAAAAAAAAAGAGGTTTCCAACAAAATCCTTCCTAAATATAAAATATTCTTCCATGGTGGTTGTTTTCTTATTTTTTGCAATTTTTGCTAAATGAATGATCAATGCTTTCCCAACATTT